AAAATAGAATGCAGAGTCTGCATTTTAAATCTCCTGTATTTTACAAATTGGTTGAGAAATTTTAGATCAAGGATGGCTCGCAACCCCCTGAAGCTTTGGGAATGATGAAAAGGCGAGAGTAAAGCCCACGTCCCCATTGAGAGGGGGGAACAGGTTGAATAGCTCTGATTTCAAGAAGGTGCTGAATGGCCTGATTCATGAGGGCTTGCCTGGAAATGTCCCGAGACACAGGACAGATCAAAAATTTTGGGGTGGGGTGGGGTTAGGAAGTCCAATTGTAACCCTGACCTAATAGTGCTGAGCATCCAGGTGTCCATCATTGACTCCTCCCATCTGGAGGCAAAGAAGGCTAGGTGACCTCCGATGGGTGGGGAAAACGAGGGATTACTAAGAGTGATGGAAGGAACGACACCCTCCCTCCTGAAAGGGCCGTTTACCAGTAGAAGGTTGTTGCCTGCCAAATGTTTCTGCCCTTTGGTCTTGGCGTTGGGAGTACGGCCTGTGAGAGCAAGGGAAGGTCTCCACTCGGAAGACAGGAGGTCGATAAGGAGCAGGGCAATAGTCGGCTTTCTTCCTGGAGGAAGAGAGAATTTTACATTTATCTCTGGTTTCGATAAGGTTCCAGAGCATCCACAAAAGCTTATCATCTGCAAAAGGAACTGATGCCAGCTTCCATTTTCAGTGTGACTTCGCCTGCCAATTTCAGAACCATAAAAGTCTTTGTGCTGCTACAGAAGATGCCATGGCCTTGGATGCAAACTTTGCGGAATTGAGAGTGGCATCCACAGTGAATTCTGCCGCTGCAATAATCTTATTAAGGTCTTGGTGACACTGAAGGTCAGAAGCAGGCAATCTATTCTGGAGTTGGCGCAGCCACCATATGGATGCCCTGGTGAAGAAGGATGCTGCTGTTGAAGCCTGAACAGCCCAAGCAGCACTTGAGGGTCTGTTCGGAACGTTTATCATCCAGTTTCAGGATATCTTTTGGCTCCGTGGGAGTGCCAGAAGATGAGAATGAGGCCAGAACCAGAATGTCAACAGAAGGGACTGCCAGGGCGTTGTCCAGAGCTGTGCTGACATTGTAGAAACGCTTATCTAGAGAAGATGGGTGAGGACCTGCCAAAGGAGAAGCGCACTGTTCCTTGACCATGTCCAGGAACAAAATGGGAGAAGGCAAAACCTCTGCATGCACTACAGGCTTGGAGAAGAGCGAATCCCCTTGGCTAGAGGGATTTCCTTGTAGCTCGGGAGCCTCTTCCTCTGGCGACAGCTTGGCAGTGACCAAGGCCTTGCTGAGTAATGGTCTGAAGAGAGTAGGTTTGAAGACCAATGCAGAGGATGTCTGTTCTGGGTGAGAATCCTCCTCCTCTGAAAGATTTTGGTCAAAAATCTCACCCTCTTCACACTCTGAATGAGAGGAGTAACTGTGTTCAGATGGTGAAGCCCTTCCTTCCTCATCAACCTCCTCACATTCTGGTAGAGAAGAATGGACCCTGAGGTCCTGGGGCCTGTGTAAATCAGGGTGATAAGGCAAGGAACTTATAGATTGAGAAGGGAGAAGGGCCTGAACCCTTTCCTTTCCAGAGGTTGAAGAATTTGCTTGAAGCCTTCAGCCAATCCCTGCCTAATGGCTGATGAGACTACATCTTGGATATCCCTTGATCTATGCTCAAAGGTAGAGGCAGAAGGCCGAAGGCCCGCTGCTGTGGGAGTGAAGGTGGCTTCAGGACTAGATTGAGGAGAGGTTTGAGGCCTGGAGGGAGGGGGAGGAGCATAGGGCACAGAAGCCTTTTGGAAATAAGGCCCAGATCTGCTTAAATCCTGAGGATCTGACTGTACAGCAAGAGCCTCAGGAGACCAGGATGGAGGATGGAAAGGCTCATAGATAACTTCTCCTCCCCTGGGAGGGCTTGGTTGGGGCCCACGAGTATCACCTGAAACATACTGTAGTTGCACTCCCTTCTGTTGAATAGTTCTGTTGAACTGCCTCTCTAGAGTTGCATGTCTGCGCTTCTCTGCCCTCAATTCAGCCTGAGTTGCCTTCTTTGGGGCTAGACCCTTAGCTCTGATTTTAGCAGCCACCTCCCTCTGGACTGATTGGGTGCATTGCCTACGTCTTTTTCTCTTATTGGGCTTAAGAGACTGTTCCACTGGGGGGGGGAAGCTCTGTCAGAGCCTTATCTTGCTCCATTGGAAAATAAAGGCTCTTGCGTTGGAAAGAAGCTGTTTAGAAATTTTTCTATTAAGCCTCTTAGGGTATAAATGCCCCCCGGGCTTACAAAATGGCCGCTCACCTCGTGGTGGAAGGCTTGAATCCAAGATGGCTGCTGACTACAGGAAAACAGGCTCCAAGATTGAAGAATCGCTCCTTAGGCTATACAGAGCCCCGAGCGAAGTCAGCAAGGGAAAAACACAGCAACCAGCTACAGGATCAGCTGGCTTGAGCTCTTATCAGTTTGCCGATCGTGTTTATGATCCCTCCAAACTGCAGGCATGGGGGAGGTCTGCAGACACTGCCCAGCTTGCCTGCACAGAGCTATGTAAAGCTGCTTCCAATGTTGCAGGAGAAAGAGAGAGAACGAGAGAGAGCCCTGCTCTCCTGGGAGCTGATTGAAGAGAGGAAAAAAGTACTGAAGATCGCTGGTGATTGCTATCTAACAGAACGCTTTCAGAGACACAACTACTGACTGAAAGGAGCTGAGTCAAAAGCTGGGGTCTCTCCCGGGGGCTGGCTTTTATATCTTAGCACAGACTCAGCTATGACATCATAGGAGGGAGTCAGCCCATCCTGGGCTCTCGATGCAGCATGGAGAATGACAAAGGCAACTGGTAAGAAGACTTCGTAATTGGATAGTCTTTGGACTGTTAAACGTATATGAGCTGGACTGTTTATTGGACTGTGCTATTTCTTAAAGTAAACTTGAACTCAATTCAGTGTAGCTGTGTGTGGCTGAATAATTATTCATAACTACTCTCATAAATGTTTCCATGTGCATATCCTTGTTACGCAAGGGTTATTCTGTACATATCATAACACACCCATGGCTTCTTGTCCTGCTGTCAGGTGCTTTGGAGAATAGCTTGACCCCCTCTTCTTTGTGGCAGCCCCTGAGATATTGGAACACTGCTATCATGTCACCCCTAGTCCTTCTTTTCATCAGACTAGACATACCAGTTCCTGCAATAGTTCTTCATATGTTTCAGCCTCCAATCCCCTAATCATCTTTGTTGCTCTTCTCTGAAAATCCCCATTCCCTCCCCACTCTGGGGGAAGGTTACTGCAAAATCCCATTCCCTCCCCACCCCACTAACCTGCTTTCCAGCTCCATTTTCCTATACAGGACAACAAAAGAAGACCCAGCCAATCAGCTAGGACTTGGGAGGCAGGGATGGGACAGGACCAGTCAGAGGTGGTATTTACTGGTTCTCCAACCTACTCATAATTTCCGCTACCAGTTCTCCAGAACTGGTCAGAACTTGCTGAATACCAGCTCTGGATGCAAAGTCTGGTTGCTATTCTGATGAAAGAGGTGTCATCAAACATATTGAAATCTCAGCAGACTTTTTAAGAGAGTTGCAGAACATACTAATTGAAAATTGAAATATCAATGATATGAATAACTTCGCTGCCAATTTCTTAATCTACTCTGATGAACTAGCAATTGGCTATAGCTTCAGCGAAGTAATATCAAAAAATAAATTAGACCAATTGTTTTGCACAATTAATAAATAAGGTTACCCAACCAAAGCTTTTCTCCTTTTCTCAAAGAGTAAAAGGATTATAATGGAGACAATAAGAAAGTGGCATCAGAGGCATTATGCAGGTGAGTCCTCATTTCCAGATAGGTAAAGGTTCCCCTCACACATACGTGTTAGTTGTTTCCAGCTCTAGAGCAGTGGCCCCCAACCTTTTTTGTGCCACGGCCCGGTACCAGCATCACAAAATGATCCGCGGCCCGATACCGGCATCAGCACGCATGACAAGGCAAGGCAAGCCGAGCGACCAGCCAGCCAGCCATCCCCCACTTCTCCCTGCCACCTTCAAATCCTCCTTTGTACCTTTGTCGATGGGCTTCACTTCAGGACGGCTTTGGGACGGTCGCTCAGCTCGCCTTGCCTTGGGTGCTGAAAGAATCCTCATGCCTTAGTTTTGTTCGAAGCCCCCCCCTTCGATGAAACTAAGGCGCGAGGATTCTTTCAGCACCCAAATGCCACTTTCCAACCGGAAAAGCTCACCCGGAAGCACTTTCTCGTCAAACAAGATGGCGGCGCCCAGCAAACCGGCGGCCCGGTAGGAAATGTTCCACGGACCGGTACCAGTCCACGGCCCAGTGGTTGGGGACCCCTGCTCTAGAGGACAATGCTCATTTCTGTTACAAAGCCAAAGAGCCAGCACGTCCAAAGACATCTCCATGGTCATGTGGCCAGTATGACTAAACGCCGAAGACATATGGAATGCTGTTAACTTTCCACTAAAGTGGTCCCTATTTTTCTACTTGCATTTTTACATGCTTTCGAACTGCTAGGTTGACAGAAGCTGGGACAAGTAATGGGAGCTAACTCCTTTACATGGTGCTAGGGATTCAAACCACCGAACTGCCAACTGTGAACTTCTGATTCACAAACTCAGCATCTTAGCCACATCCCTATGTGGCAACTTTTCATGGCAAAATTATGAAAGATAATGGATTGCTATCTGCTGTGATTTCTCATCTGATCAAAATTATATGCCAAGGATGAAATAAAAAAAGATGCTCCTGAATTCCATGCACCCTAATAGAAACATTGTGTTTAGATGAGTGACCAAAGCATGCTAATTCTGCTGTGCTCTCAACAGTGCATGAGCGTACAAATGTAAGGATGTTGAAATGATTAATTATATGGGAGTCATGAGTATCTATGAAACTTTAGGTTGTTAAATTTTCTTTTTCTTCATTATCAATATTTGATACATGTTATATCCTACAGGGCATAAATATACAGAGAAATATTCAACTTACAGCATGAGGATACAGGTACACTGATGGCCAAGATGATCCATGCTATATCCACTTTGCTGAGACAAATAGTTGCTCTGTACTGGGACTTGTCCCTTTCTGGGACATGAGAAATATTGCCTGAGACATCAGGCTTTCTGGTATCAGCAGGTACCAGTCTGTTTAGGAAATTCTCTGTGGCTGTTGAAATGGAACTTGAAATCCATGTTGAGGATTCCATAGACAGTGTACTGCTTGGCAAGCTAGCATTATGTCCAGAGGGATGCAGTGTGGTAGCTGGTTCCTCAATAGAACTCCCGGTTGTATATAAGGAGGAAAGACTGGCATCAACATCATTTGGACTAGGGTGTCCAAAGTCTACTTCTGTTGCTGTTGTCCTAGGACCAGAAAAAAAGGCTACCTGATCTGTATTCTGGCTTGGATTTATCCATGAGTTGTTTTTTCCCAGTATATTCTGTATGCCATACCGTGTGGGTTTAAAAGGCACTGTCACCATTTCAGGAACAGTTGATGGAACAATTGTTGAGGTAATGAGATCAATCTCCTGTGTAATCAGTTCTGATGATTTCCCCTTCTCTGTTTCATTAAGGCCTTCCAAGGTATGAATAGAATAAGTTGAGTCTGTTGTGGTTCCCTGTAAAGTATTTTGATGACTGGTGTGAACTGTAGGCTGGGTCTGAAATGGATATTCTGGGGGCCAATTTTCTGTGGTAGCAGAAGAATACAATTCTGCTTTTAGATAAGGTTCTGTAAATGCTGTGAAATTGCCTTGGATACCCAGAAACATATTTCGTTTGTTAAGTGACTTCCTGGACAACAAAGCACTCTGGTTGTATAAATGATAAGGTTCTGTGTTATCAACAAAATGGCTGTTGTTTAATTCCTTCTGGCCAACAGAAGGAACAGAAGTCTCTGCTATACTACTGGAACCAGCATTTGCAAGAGTTGTTGTAGACAAAGATTTGGTTGTGTGATGGCCTGCAAGTTCTGGAGTTGTCTCCATAGCTAAAATACTAATATTGTCCATCAGGAGGCTTTGAGATGACACAAGTTTAGGAGTCAGTACCTGAACAGCAACTACTAATTCTTCTGTTAGCACCAAGATCAATAGAAAACCTAGAAAAAATAAACACGAAATAAGAATTAATAACATGGAAAACCTGAATGTCACCAAATTCCAAACCTGAAGTGCATTATACATATACAAAAGTATGTATGTCTATGTGTATGTATATATATATTCTGGAACAAAATGCTTAGCCGACGAACAACACCTAAAAACCGAACTACACACTCTCACCAATGTACTAACAGCCAATGGATTCCAAAGAAAGAAGATTACCCACCTAATCCAAAAAGAAACCCCAACCAAAATCCAAGACAGAGAACAAGAGAACGGCAAAGCCCTCCTCCCATATATAAAAGGCACTACAGACAAAATCAGCAAGATCCTCCAAAAACACAACATTAAAACAGCATTCTGCACAAACAGAAAAATATCCACCATCCTAAGAAACCCCAAAGAAAAAATCGAATTAGAAAACCAAGGAGTATATGAAATCCCTTGCACTGCCTGCCCCACCACATACATTGGACAAACTAACAGAAGAATAAGTGCACGCATTGAAGAACATAAGAACTCTAATCAAAAAAGAAGAACCGACCTCTTCCCTGGTCCAACATCTCAAAGCCACAGGACATGAGATTGACTTTAAAAATACCAGAACTATCGCCAAAACTGAACACTTCAACAGCAGAATAATCAGAGAAGCCATAGAGATAGAAAAACGCCCACACAGCATGAATAAACAAGATGACACCTCCCGCCTACCAGCCATTTGGAAACCCACCCTCATGAACAGACGAGTACCTAACATGAAGAATGACACCACACCCACACCCATGAGGGCCACACAAGATGCCACCACCACACTTCCACGTAGAAAGCAGACTCACACCCACACAAAAGATGAGACACGACCAAGGACCAGAAGCCACACTGCACCTGCATCACTACCCACTTCAAACCCCTCCGAGCCATACATGAAGCAAAGTGACACCCACCATGAAGATGCAGCACGACCACGAACTCGAAGCCAAACAGCAGGATCACAGCTCACCAGCTCAAATCCCCCAGCAACTAAGACTAACCTGAGCACAACCAAGCCCCCACCTGAACAGAACACGCCTCCAGCCAATCAGAACATGGCCAACCCCCCAACCAATCAGAACACAGCCAAACCCCCTACCAATGAGAACACCCCCCACCCAATCAGAACACAGCCAAGCCCCCACCCAATCAAGTCACACCCCCACTAGCAGTTAAAAGGAAGAAGCAGCTGCAAGCTCACATCACTCTGAGAAGCACAGAGCCGAAGACACAAGCCTGAAGATGATGAATGAGACTTCATCGAAACGTTGCCTAGATACAATCTGCTGCCTGAGTCTGCACTGAAAAATAGAAGCTTCAGTCCTAAGGAAGGTTCAGCTCTGCTCAGGCCACTTCTCCAAACCCCCTCCAACTCCCTGAATACCACTCCTGACAGGGTCTCTATTTCTCCCGTTCCCTTTTTAAATCCTTTAAAACATTTCCCTTCTGTTTTAATTCCTTAATCATTATTAATGTTAGTAACATCTCTTCTTGTTGTCTTCTTTTTGCAGTTTTCTCAGTTCTGCTTTCCTCTCCATTCCTTCTGATTGCTCCTTTCTTTGCTCATTGTCCTGGTCTTTGCTACTTCTCCCTTGTATAATATTGTCCAGTTTTTGGTCTACCCCAGTGGTTCCCGAACTTTTTCAGTCCACCGCCCTCTTGGTGCTACAAACCCATCCTCAGTGCCCCGCACCCAGGGGTGGGATTCAAATTTCTTAACAATTGATGCCTAATTTGCGGGCATGGTGGTCATGTGACTGGCTGGGCATGGCTTGCTGGCTGAGCGTGACTTGGTGGTCACGTGACTGGATGGGCATGGTTTGGTGGTCATGTGACTGGCTGGGCATGGCCAGGTGGCCATGTGACTCGCAAACCAAATATAAGTGGTCCTCACTTAATGGCCAGTTGCTTAGTAAGTGTTCCAATTTATGACTGACCTCCCCAGAGCTACTTGACCTGTGTTTGGAGTTTTGACAGCCATGAACACACACACACTCCCTTCTAATCCTGCTGGAGCAGATGGTTGGACTAGATATCTCATTCACTTTCTCCTCCCTCCCTTTCTTTCTTTCTTTCTTTCTTTCTTTTTTTTCTTTCTTTCTCTTTCTTTCTGTCCCTTCCTTCCATCCCCCCTTCTTTCTTTGTCTATCCTTTTTCTTCCTTTCTCTCTCCCTTTTTCTTTCCCCTTTCTCTTTTCTTTCTTATCTCTTCCTTCTTTCTCCCTTTCCCTCTTTTTCTCTCTCTCCCTCCCTCCCTTCATATCCCATTAACTTTCTCCTCCCTCCTTCTTTCTTTCTCATTCCCTCTTTCTCTTTTCTCTATCTTTCTGTCCCTTCCTTCTATCTCCTCTTTCTTTGTCTATCCCTTTTCTTCCTTTCTTTTCCTTTCTCTTCCTTTTTCTTTCTTTCTTGTCTGTTCCTTATGTCTTTCTCTTTCTCTCTTTCCCTCTCTTTCCCTTTCTCTCTTTCCCTCTCTTTCCATTTCTCTCTCTTTCTTTTCTCTCTCTCTCTCTCTTTTTCCCTCTATCCCTTCCCTATTTTCTGCCGAGGCAGGCGTGGCCTAATCTGTTAAAGGCCTGGGCTAATCCTGCATCACCCTGTTTCCCCTTTCAGAGGCCCCGGCCCTTAATATCCCTATTTCCTCTCCCATGACTGCCTCTTTTGTCGTCCCACGGCTGTGACTTTACCTTCCTCCTATGGTTGGCTGCCAGCCCATGTCACCCTTGTCATGAATGCCTGCAGCTGCCACATGTTTTTTTCGGTGCAGCTGGACTGCAGCTGCACCCAAAAAAACGTGGTGGCTGGATATTTTTTGCAGCGAAAATTACAGACCTCCAGCTTTGCTCTGCTTCTCCAACACGTTGCTGCGGCCGCATTCAAGGTGCCGGCCCTGCAAGTCCAGCCCACTGGGCCCACTGCACCGGAGGGACTTGCCCAAGACCAAGTGGAGCAGTGCAGCAGTCAATGGAACCTTGCTACAAGGCGATCGGCTTGGACATTCCTACTCTTTACCCATAATGCCTCTGGTAAGGGGTAGCCCTTCCACTTGATTAAATATTGGAGTTGTCTCCTGTGCCACCTCAAATCTGACCTCTAGCAGTTGTAGGAAGTCATCTACGTCATGTAGTTGGGGGCTCCTTCTCTTGTGGAGAGTTGCTAGCCATTCTCTTGCTTCTCCCTCTAGCCCCTCTGAAATTGCGTTCACCATGGCTCTTGGGGAGGAGTAGCGGTGTCCATAACATTACGGGTCGATCTCAGCTGAATCAAGGAATAAAGCTAGCTGGTCTGGGTCTCCATCAAATTTCCCCCTGAAACGGGGCGGTTTGTTGGGCTTTGCTCCTTCCTCTCCCTGTTGCCCTCTGTAAGCCTGCACTTGAGGTGGCTGACCTTCCTCCACAGCTCTAGTTCACACAGGAGGAAAGGGCTGCCTGCTGCATGGGGGAGGCACTGGCTGCCGCTTTTTTCTTCTGGTATGTAGAGAGGGAGGACTGTGGTCTTTCCTGCTTCTCTCCACTTCAAAGGCCCTGTAAAAATTCCCCTCTGTTTTGGGTGGCAGGATAGGCCATCATCTCAAATGGTGGCCTGTTCAGATCCCTTCCTCAGCTGCTCTATGGATCTTCCCAGGGATTCCATCAGGTACTTATCTGGTTTTCTCCTCTTTGGAGTTGATGAGGGACTGTCCTCCTTCTATAATTATGCTATCTGTTTCTGTTTGCTTCTGTCTGGAAGCCAAGCTTTCTCCTGATAGCCTCTACCATGGCTGCCTGAGTTTCTCTCTATGCACCCCAGATGTCGGGGAGCAATGGAAGAGGCCGGGATGCAGGCACCCCGGTGATTAATTATGAGAGTTGGCTATCTGTCAGGATTCTGGCAGTTACTCCAATTAAATCATGAGCCTCAAACCACACTCCCAAAACTAAAGAGGATTTATTTAAAGTTAACATTCTGGCATTAGGCTGGGTGTAGCCAACTCCGATACACAATTCACTGTCACCCTTAATCCTGCTTCCCCCCCCCCCTTTTGAGTGTATCATCCAAAGAAACATGTCTATAGCCAAGAGTCATCAATCATGCTCTCCAATTAGATTTTTGCGCAGCAGAAACTTCAGTCATCTAATCAATCTCTGAAGAAAATATGAATAGAATGTACTTTCGATTCCACACTGCTGCCTGCTCTTTGAAACTCCGCCCCTTCTTCCAGTTGACAACTATAAAACGTGTATACAAAATGTTTTATAAGTTGACATTCACACACCATTCACTGTATCTTCACTCCTGCACTGTCTTAGGTGTTCAGACTGTCCTGGCTTCATGGCAGCCATTTTGCTGCTGCTGCACCTCGTCTTTGGATGAGGGGTAATTTCCATGTCAGGGAGGAGAGATGCAGCTCTCCTCGACCTGCATGGCAATCCCCTTTACTTCACCATCCTTCCAGGGTGGCTATGGCTCTTTTCGGAGCCCTCCAGTGGGGAGAGCTCACGGAGCTCACAGTCCTCGCTTCTGGTAGTACAGCCAGAACTCAATTATTTTTAAGCTTTAATAAGCTTTAAAGTTTGTCATAATTTTTTAAACCAGATTTCCCAAATTTGGTGGCTTCCTGATATACTGGTCCACATTACACAAATTTCCAAGTCAGAGGACTATTGTTCTAGAAAGCTTCTGTAGAACCATTGGCATCACAATGTAACGTCCTTTTAGAATGCCCTGATTTAATACATTAACTATTTTTTGTTCTAGGTGTTAATGGTACCTGGCCACACAAACATTAACCTTTTCTGTAAGAAGCATATCTTTTCTAAATTATTCAGAGAGATAGTGAATTTAGATTAAAATTCTATGTGTAACAGAAAAACTAAAAATCTAAACTCTCCTATGAGTGTGATTTCTAGTGACTACATAATATGTATGTTTATATTCTTTTCCTGGCAATAAGACACTAGTTTGGCATTGCCTTCTGCTGGATTTTTTTTAAATTCTAATTCAGGCTACCTCTAGTACCTCTACTAGACATGCTGAGTGTTTGCAGACTGGTATTTTGTGGCAGTATTATGCATTCATACTGACTGGCACACAGAACAATCTTTTAAATAGGACAGCAGCAATATTTTTTATTTATTTGTAAAACGCACCTTTAGTATTATTTATATTATTATTTTCAAGCTAATATAGCTTGAAAAGCAAAGGCAGAAACAGATTTTTGTGCTCAGACCTGCTCAATCTTTATTTCGCTCCTTGAGCTAAGAAAGCAAAATGAATTAGCCCTCTTCATATTAGAAAAATATATGCTAGTGGAAAGGAAGATTATGCATTAATCTCCCCAGAGGAGAAATGACCATGAAAATTAGACCAGCTTGCAATTTCTACAGAAAGCAAAAAAACCAAAAACATATCTCAACAAATATTCTGATCCATTGCTTAATTTGCAAGAATGAATTTTCTTTTAAGAAAACATATAAAACTTTTTGTTATGAAATATGTAAGTTACATCATCTTTTAAAATTTAAAACATTATTTGTTTTAGAGTCTAGGACTAGCAATCTATTCATGCATTTGTTTCTGAAGTGGGAAAGGTACAATACAGTTTTTATTGCCTAACTTTCATGCAGAGAACAATTTATCTGAAATGAATCAACTGTCAATATCATTGTATAGCACAGGGATTGCCAACCTTTTGGACCTCAGGGACCACTAAACTCATAACTTTAAATCCAGCGGACCAGAGACCCTGGGAAAATCCCCCCAAAAGTCTGCAGGAAAATCACCCACCATGTTTTCCTACTGATCGATTATTCTTTATTTGGGATTGCAGGATACCATCCCCAGCTCCGTTCTGAGGGAGGGAGGGAGGGAGAGACAGAGAGAGAGAGAGAGAGAGAGAGAGAAACTGACTTGTGGCAGAAGCAGCAGAAGTCTTTCTCTCCCCCAAACTCCACCAGAAATGAGTTTTTGTGAGACTTGTCACACTGGCGCAGCCTCTTGGAGCAGGATGCCTTGCAGGGTCCCAAAAACTAATTTCTGGTGGAGTTTGGGGGAGAGAAAGAAAGATTTTTTCTGTTTTCCTTGCGTGCAGCCAAAAGCAGAAGAAAAAAAAACAGCAGAAAGAAATGGCCAGGTGAGGTGCGTGGGGCAAGTGGAACAAGTTCTCCTCCCTCCACCCTTTGCCCCCTCCTTTATCTCATGTTGTTCGTGATGAAAGTCTTGTGTTCCCCTTGGGCCATGTGGATGGCGCAACCTTGTGTTCCCATGCAGCCTGGGTTAATTGCTTTGGGGGGGGGTGCTTTGAGGGTGACATTTCTCTGAGGACCACCAAAATTTTCTTGCAGACCACCAGTGATCCCCAGCCCACTGGTTGGTGACCACTGGTATAACAGATTCCAGATATTTCAAAGTTAGAGTGTGGTTTTTTTTCTTTTATCTGCTAAATATTTTGGAGATTTCAAAGCTGGACTAGAGAAGTTACCAAATATTACCAGCCTCCCCTTGTTGTGCCAGACTGATTTGGCAAATAATTTTTATTTTTATCTAATCTAAACAGAAATGAGCCTCTAAATAAGCCATCAATTCATGAAAAAATACTTCATTTTGTTTCATTCTTTAGAAACCATTTTGCCAAAATACAAATGGATTTGGGAGCAAATGACCCATAAAACATTCAAATTATGGTGTTTCTGTCAAAGTTTAGATATCTCCTAACAATTGTCCTCAGAATAACTTGCATTAAAGCTCAAATGTATTGACTGATTTTCTTTCTTGAATAGGATACTTATCTTTTTCTTACACTTTTGGGATTAAGCATCAAGGGAGGGTGTTGGGTTGTTTTAGTTTAGGAACATTATTCAAAGAATGATCTCCTGGGAAGGACACTCTACTTTTTGAATATAGCATGAAGTTAATACCAATTTTGTAAGGGTAGGTACACTAAAGAAAGAGATGAATACATAAAACATCTGACCCGAACTTTTGTACCTTCAAAGCACAATTCCTAGCATCCCCATCTATTGATCATCTGGCTGAGGCTGGTGGGAGTCCTATCCAAAACATAGTTGAGGAAGACTACACTATAACAAATATGGTGCATTCAGTAGAAGTCTTTAAAAATTCATTTCTAAAATATATGGAGAATTAAGAGGTGGGTTGTGAGTAAAAACCACAAAGGGAAGCTACACTAAACGATTTGCTCCTCAGCAATTTACTGTACAGTTTAACGATAACCACCCAACCAACCTGTTTGTCACGAAGATTTGTCTCCACAGAAGCCAATTCGGTCCAAGAAATAAGAGCCGCAGTTTGTTCTCAGCTTATAAACCATTCGGAACAATTGATAGCATAAACAGAATATTGATATACCACCAGCCATCCAGGCGGTTTTCATTCCTGTGCAAGGCGAGTCAGGAGAACGCGAGATTCCTTTACAATAAAGCATAGCTGCTACTGACAAACACTTCCAGACAGTCGCCTTTTCTGGAAACGATCACCTGGCATGGACCTTATAATAAACCCTTGAAAGGAGGAGGGCGACGGGAATAGAAATGGGAGTACGGCCGCAGCAGCAGCAGGCAGGCAAAGACTGGAGACTCCGGTTTAGCTGAGCTAGGGAATTGAGGACTCACCTGAAAATATCATTTGGATTCGACGTCAGCAGACATTCTCATCTGCCAGCCTCATAGCAAGGCGTCGAAAAACCAGATCCAGAGCTTGTTCGCTACTGCTGGCGTCTTTTGGGGAGTCGAGGGGACGGGAACCGACTACGTAGGCGTGTCTTGCGGAAACCAACAGCTTCGCACCGGCTCTTTTGCAGAGGTTTGGTAAGGCGAAGACAGCGCATGGCTTATTAGTTACCGAGTACTGTTTTTCCCCGCCCCCAGCAAAGCTGCTTTGTACTTCATTTTGAGCGATTCGTCCCCCACCCCTGCAATCATCCCCGCCCAAAACGACATTGGTCTTCTACAATGTGGTGACGCTCTCCCATCCCACGAGCGTCTCGAACTGCACTTGTTTGCTAGCGGAGGAGACTCCCTCTCCTCCTGTCAGACTATAGAGGGTTGAAGGCGGCCCGCAGGCAAATTTGGCTGCGTTTTGTCAGACCCGCTCTCCGGCCTCGTGGAAGACCGGATTTAAAAAAACAAAACAACGTAGGAAAAGGAAAGCAGTGCTGGCAATGATCTTAAGTGGCCAAAATTGCAACCAGATCTTAAGTGGCCAAAATAGCCAAGGATAAGCTGTTCCATTACTCCTTCCTTATAGGCATGACTCAGATTGAGGAGATCAGGAAGTTCTTGTTTAGAATTTAGCTTTGAATTAGCAGTAGCTGCATTCATCAAAGCAATCAGGTTTAGCTATTGTTTTGTTTTAAAGGATGGATTCACAATGCTACTGGATATTAACAAGTAGGATTTGGTCTTACTACAGGGCATGAAGCGAGCCATTATTTTGGAAAACAGGTCAAATGACCTTTAACTTTGCTTAATTCTCTTCGTTTGGATATGGCAAAACAGCTTTTTCCTTCTTTCTCTGTGTCTTCCTATCCAGTATATCTTTCACTCAGAAGATTCCCCAGACCAATCAGCAGAAAGAGCTTCTGGTTGGCAGAAAAGATGCTTCTATTAGAAGAGGCCCTTCCCAATTCCCTTCCAACCTGCAAATCCTGAATTATGGGCATTTCCTTATTTCTCGTTTAGAATGCTCTTCACCCCTCCTTGAGCTGGCAGAAAACTATTACCAACAAATGTTCCTGCTTTCTTGACTCTATTTAAGCCATCTAATTGCAGTAGATGCCAAAGACTTAAACTTAGTGACTATCCTTTGACATTATTAAAAGGGGGGGAGGAGGGACAATATTAAGATATATACAGTTAGGATAATATAGACCTGTCTCCTTGTGGACTTGGGATGGGGTAAAAAAAAATGCCATGAGAATATGACAGAATAATTTTTTTGCCAAAGCATCATTGCGGTGCCATGGTTAGCTGCAAGTAGATGCTCTGTGAAATCTAGAAGAGAACAAAGTCAGCATATATGAAATCTAGTTCTGATCCAACCACTACAAATTAAGCTTTCTCTCCCATTTGGTTAAAATTAGAAAGGCAGCACACATATCCTTCTTTTCAGATCAGGATGGTTGAGAGAATAAGAGAGAAAAGGCGAGGCAACATTGCTTATAAGGCTTCTCCTCAAATCCTCTCCGCATCAAATGAGCTGTTGGAAGAAAAATCTGGTCCAGTTCCAAGCCAGGAGAAAGGCACTGGAAATAAAATGGAGGCCAATTGGAAAGAAGTCTGTTTATTTGGATGCCAGAAACTTCAATGACAGAAGCATAGTTCTGGGGTTGCTGACCCCTTGGCTTAGGGAATGGATTGATTTTTATAAGGCTCTGAGATGCTCTAGGATTTATGCCATGTAGTGAGCTTTTGCTATTTCAGTGGTGGTGGGTGAATAGAAATAGAAATAGAATAGAATAGAATAGAATTTTTTATTGGCCAAGTGTCATTGGACACCAAGGCATTTGCCTTGGTGCATATGCTCTCTATACATAAAAGAAAAGATACATTCACCAAAAGTCAAGAATCATAAGGTACAATACTTAATAATAGTCGTAGAGTACAATAAACAATCTAATCATACTAGGAAACAGTCAAAAAATTGTTAGGATTACAAGCAACAAGGTTACAGTCATAACAGTCATAAGTGGGAGAAGATAGATAAAATAGATAGAATTCTTTATTGTCCAAATGTGATTGGACACACAAGGAATTTGCCTTGGTGCATATGTTCCCAGTGTACATAAAAGAAACGATACATTTGTCAAGGGTCGAGAAAAGGTAATAATAGTCATAGGGTACAATAAGCAATCAAATCATACTAGGAAACAGTCAATATAAATCGTAAGGATACAAGCAACAAAGTTATGGTCATACAGTCACAAGTGGGAGGGGATGGGTAATGAGTGATAAGATTGGTATATAGGGAGAAGTGGAGAAAGCACACAGCCTTGGGGTGGGGTGTCCTGTGCTGATTATACAGGTATCAGATGTGATTCTGCCTAACTTCATCTATTGCTTCCTGTCTGTTAGGAAGCTTATGATCAACTTACAAGTGTGCTCAGGTACTGCTAGCTGGTTTAGTTTAGTTAGAAGAATGTCTGGAATGATGGTATTGAATGCTGAACTGAAGTCTACAAAGAGGACCCTTGCGTAGGTGTTGTAGGATGTAGTGCAGAGCCATATTAACAGCATCTGTCGATCTATTTGCTCGGAATGCAAACTGGCTGGAATCTAACAGTAGATCCATGATTCAGGTGGGACAGCGTTAGCCTTTCAAAGGTTTTTATAATTACAGGTGTTAGAGCAACTGGTCTGTAGTCATTCAGTTCCCTGATGGCTTCTTTGGCACTGGGATGGTAGTAGAACATTTGAAGTGAGAAGGAACATAGCACATCTCTAGTGATTTATGGAAGATTCAGATGAAGATGGGGGCCAATTGGTCAGCATAGACTTTTAAGTAAGGAGTTATCTTGTCTGGCCCTGGTGCTTTTCTTGGCTTTTGTCTGTGAAATAAACCTTGTATTTCTTTTTCTGTGATCACCAGAAGTTGTGAACCCAATTGGTTGGGGTAAGTTGTAGGAGGCTTGGCTGTTGTTGGTGTGTTTGAAATTGAGGTTGCAGAGATAGGTGGCTGTAGTTTCTTTTCAAACCTGCAGTAAAACACATTCAGGTCATCTGCTAGTAGTTGATTTCCTTCTGCCTGAGAAGGAGGTTTGCTGTAGCCAATGATGTTTTTAAGTGTTTTTCACGTGTTTGCTGGTTCATTTGTTGAGAACTGATTCCTTAACTTTTCAGAGTAGCTTCTTTTTGCTGCTCTGGCCTGATCTACATTTCTGGCCTGATTGTATAGCATTCTGTCACCTTTTCTGTATGCTTCCTCTTTGGAACAATGTAGCTACTTAGGTTTAGCTGTGAACCAAGGTTTATTGTTACTATATATTTGCAGGTTCCTTGTTGGTGCACATAGGTCTTCACAGAAGCTGACATATGATATTATAGTATCTGTGAGCTCATCTAGCTCTGCAGAGGTATCTTCAAAAACATTCCAATTAGTGCAATCAAGGCAAGCCTGAAACTTCAGCTTTGCCTCATCAGTCCAAGTCCTCACTGATTTAATTGTTGGTTTCATGGTTTTAAGTCTTTGTCTATATATAGGCAAGTACAAGTTGAATCATGCAGTGATCAGAGTGTCCCACAGCTGCTCATGGTAAAGTTAATCCTATTATGTCCTAAAGGTCATGTCCTGCCCTTAATCTCATCAGCTAGAGCTGAAGGTATTTTGTTTAGCAGGGTACCCGTGCTTTGCTACAAAACTATGTGATCGTGCAAGTTTGTGGGGAGGAAAATAAGGGGGAGGGAATTGTGCCTCTGCCTACCAGCATCCATCGGTATTCATCTGGCTAGTGTCCTGTCAGTGTGTGAGAATTCAGGGTTGTTTGGAAACTGAAACAGTATTTGCTGTGTGAGCAAGGAGACAGCAAGGAGCCTGGGCTTGGCTTAGCTCAACTGCAGTTGGAAGATATTTCTTTTCAGGTGGGGAGGGGAGTAGAAGTCCTTAACATCAGAGTGTGTTAATAATAATATAGAAAATACTAATGCTCTGATGGTCATTTCAAAAAATTCTTTGTTAGCGAGCACCTAGAAGCCAAGAGGAACATACGTGCCAAATTTCAAGTTTGTAGGCTTTACAGTTCCAAAGATTTCATGATGATGCGTGAGTGGTATTTTGCTTTTAAATATATAGGTTCTACAATGCGTGTCCTTCTCATTGTCATCATCACCAACAAAGTATATCTGGAGAAATGAAGGTTGCTGCTGAGGCCCCACCATGATGCTCCCTATCCTGTTGCCTTGCCTCTGCACTTTGAATGTTGGCATAAAATTTCCCTCCCTTACCTCTCTGGCTCCCAAAAACGTCATTTGGAAGCATCCGTTGTACTTCCAGATAGCAGAAAGAAAGTGCTTTGCCATTGGATGCTGGTGGGTGAGAAGGCTGTGTAAGGGTTCAGAGGAGGGTTGAAGGGGAGGGAGCTGGACTTTACCACCCACTGCAGCAAATCCTGGGATTCTCATCTTGTCACTTGACACCAGGCACAAGGTAACCGAAGTCCGAGATCAACAACCTTTTCCCTAGAATAATGAATCTGAGGTTCATACTGAAAACCAGAAAAATACTTATTAGTCCAAGGCATTGATCTCATTTGTGACTAATTAATGTAGGGATTATTAGATGTATACTTTTTACAGCCTGTCTACTAACTTGGGGATGAGTTTGACGATACTTGTGTGCAGCTTCCCTTACTTGTGTTTTCCTAATTGCATCTGTAAATCTTTTTCTGCATTTTTGCCTCTTTTCCCTTTAACTGGTGTTACAATAGAAGGAGCAGATTTGTCTGAACTGAGGAGGAAAATAAGTGGAAAAAATTCTGCCTTTGCCTACCAACATCCATAGGTATTCATCTGGCTAGCATCCTGTCAGTGTGTGAGAGAGTTGAGGGGTATTTGGAAACTCAAACAGTATTTGGTGTGTGAGCAAGCAGACAGCAAGGAGCCTGAACGTGGCTTAGCTCAACTGTTCTGTAGTAAAGCTGTTTGCTGCTGTGAAAGTAAAACTGAAACGGAAACTCCTCTCCTCTGCTTGTATTTTGCATTTGTAAGAGACTTTTTAGGTGGGGAGAGGGAGTAGAACTCCTTAGCATCAGAGCGTCTTAATAATAATATAGGAAATACTAATGCTCTGATGGTCATTTTGAAAAATCCTTTCATAGTAAGCACCTAGAAGCCAAGAGGAACATATGTACCAAACTTCAAGTTTGTAGGCTTTATGGTTCTGGTGATTTTGTGATGATGCACGAATGCTTTTTTGCTTTTATA